ACGTACAGACGCACAGGGACACACATACAGACACACAGAGACAGACACACAGACGCACAGAGACACATACAGACACCCAGAGACACACATACAGACACACAGAGACACATACAGACACACAGAGACAGACACACAGACGCACAGAGACACATACAGACACACAGAGACACACATACAGACACACAGAGACACGTACAGACACACAGAGACACATACAGACACACATAGACACACAGAGACACACATACAGACACACAGAGACACATAGACACACAGAGACACAGACACACAGACACACATACAGACACACAGACACACAGAGACACGTACAGACACACAGAGACACATACAGACACACATAGACACACATACAGACACACAGAGACACATACAGACACACAGAGACACAGACGCACAGAGACACACAGAGACACGTACAGACACACAGAGACACACACAGACACACAGAGACACATACAGACACAGAGACACGTACAGACACACAGAAACACGTACAGACGCACAGAGACACACATACAGACACACAGAGACACATACAGACACACAGAGACAGACACACAGACGCACAGAGACACATACAGACACACAGAGACACACATACAGACACACAGAGACACACACAGACATACAGACACACAGAGACACAGAGACACAGACACACAGACGCACAGAGACACATACAGACACACAGAGACACATACAGACACACAGACACACAGAGACACATACAGACACACAGACACACACAGACGCACAGAGACACAGACGCACAGAGACACATACAGACGCACAGAGACACATACAGACACACAGAGACACATACAGACACAGACGCGCACACACACACAGACAAAGATCACCCGTATAGCTTTAGCAGACTGTAGGGGCAAGTGCTGTTAGCGAGCACCTATGAAGGCCGGAACACGAGGGAGTGTGTGGCCAACCCCACGCCCGGCCGCCTTTGTCTCCCTAGTGGCGATGTTTACACATTGCACCAGGTACTCATTTGTGGCTGAGTCGACCTAGGGGAGGCTCAGGACCGGTTCAGATAATCGCTGTCACTGGTGTTGGCCGAATCGAACCCGAATCGTGAGATTCGTAGCGCAGCGCGCTTACCGCTACACTACCGCTCCCCACACACACAGACACACACACAGGCACACAGAGGCACACAGACACGCAGAAACACAGACACACACAGGCACACAGACACGCAGAAGCACACAGACACGCAGAAACACAGACACACACAGGCTCACAGACACGCAGAAACACAGACACGCACAGATACACACGGAGGCTCACAGACACGCAGAAACACAGACACACAGAGGCACACAGACACGCAGAAGCACACAGTAACGCAGAAACACAGACACACACACAAACACACACACAGACACACAGAGGCACACAGATACGCAGAAACACAGACACGCACAGATACACGCAGAGGCTCACAGACACACGCAGATACACACAGAGACACAAGACAAAGATACACACAGACACGCACAGACAAAGACACAGACAAGGACACAGACACGCACATAGTCAAAGCCAACCAAAGGGACGGCGATAGCGACACGCACAGACACACAGACGTACACAGACACACACACAGACGTACAGACACACGCACACAGACACAGACGTACAGACACACAGACGTACAGACACAGACGTACAGACACACAGACGTACAGACGCACAGACAAACACACACAGACGTACAGGCACACACACAGACGTACAGACACACAGACGTACAGACACACACATAGACATACAGACACACGCACACAGACGTACAGACACACACACACCGACGTACAGACACACGCACACAGACGTACAGACACAAACACAGACGTACAGACACACGCACACAGACACACAGAAACAAGTCCAGACGCACAGAAACACATAAAGACAAAGACGCACAGAGACACACACATACACAGAGGGAGACATACACAGAGACACATGCACATATAGGCACCTCCGATTAGCACGGTTCGCTAGGTATGGTGCGAAAGAGGTTCAACATACATAGACACAGACGCACAGAGACACAGGCACGAGAGACACGCACAGATACACAGGAAGAGAAACGCACAGAGACACACAGAGACATGCACACCGACAGAGACACACAGAGACATGCACACCGACAGACACAGAGACATGCACACCGATAGAGACACACAGAGACACCCAGAGACATGCACACCGATAGAGACACAGAGACATGCACACCGATAGAGACACACAGAGACATGCACACCGACAGAGACACAGAGACATGTACACCGACAGAGACACAGAGACATGTACACCGACAGAGACATGCACACCGACAGACACACAGAGACACACAGAGACATGCACACCGACAGACACACAGAGACATGCACACCGACAGAGACACACACAGACACACAGAGACATATACACACAGAGACATGCACACCGACAGACACAGAGACATGCACACCGACAGAGACACAGAGACATGCACACCGACAGAGACACACAGAGACACACAGAGACAGAGACACAGAGACATGCACACCGACAGAGACACACAGAGACATGCACACCGACAGAGACACAGAGACATGCACACCGACAGAGACACACAGAGACATGCACACCGACAGAGACACAGAGACATGCACACCGACAGAGACACAGAGACATACACACCGACAGAGACACATAGAGACACACAGAGACATACACACCGACAGAGACACAGAGACATGCACACCGACAGAGACACAGCAACATGCACACCGACAGAGACACAGAGACATGCACACCGACAGAGACACAGAGACATACACACCGACAGAGACACATAGAGACACACAGAGACATACACACCGACAGAGACACAGAGACATGCACACCGACAGAGACACAGCAACATGCACACCGATAGACACACAGAGACATGCACACCGACAGAGACACACAGAGACATGCACACCGACAGAGACACACAGAGACACAGAGACATATACACACAGAGACATGCACACCGACAGACACAGAGACATGCACACCGACAGAGACACACAGAGTCATGCACACCGACAGAGACACAGAGACATGCACACCGACAGACACAGAGACATGCACACCGACAGACACAGAGACGTGTACACCGATAGAGACACACAGAGACACACAGAGACACACAGAGACATGCACACCGACAGAGACACAGAGACATGCACACCGACAGACACACACAGAGACATGTACACCGACAGAGACACAGAGACATGCACACCGACAGAGACACAGAGACATGTACACCGACAGAGACACACAGAGACATGTACACCGACAGAGACACAGAGACATGCACACCGACAGAGACACAAAGACATACACACCGACAGAGACACGCACACCGACAGACACACACAGAGACACACAGAGACACAGAGACATGCACACCGACAGACACACAGAGACATGTACACCGACAGAGACACACAGAGACATACACACCGACAGACACACAGAGACATGTACACCGATAGAGACACAGAGACGTATAACAGCCGCCCTTCGCCACCACGTGGCAGTGACATCACCACGGCGCTTGTGCCAGGCTAGGTGCACTTTGAGGCCACGTGAAAGTGCCGAATGCTCGCTGCTGATAGGATGAGGTCACTGACAGACGCAGGTGCCATGGGTTGACCGACTGAGATGCATGGCAGAGGCACCGGCTGTGCTTTCCCCACTTGTGCCACTTCGCATGTTTAACACAGTAGCTGCTACTACTACATATGTAGTAGTTGTAGTAGTAGCTACAACATATGTAGTAGCTACTACTACATATGTAGTAGTTGTAGTAGTAGCTGCAACATATGTAGTAGCTACTAATACATATGTAGTAGTTGTAGTAGTAGCTGCTACATATGTAGTAGTAGCTGCTACATATGTAGTAGCTACTACTACATATGTAGTTGTAGTAGTAGCTGCTACATATGTAGTAGCTACTACTACATATGTAGTAAATGTAGTAGTAGCTACTACATATGTAGTAGCTACTACTACATATGTGTGTATACACAGGTATACACATACAGGTTAAACATGTGTGTATACACAAAGTAGCTACTACATATGTAGTTGCTACTACATACGTAGTAGCTACGGGCCGCGCACTTTAAAGGGTCCCGCGCTAAACGCTTTCAAGCTATCAATTCCGGTTCAGTGATTCTGCACTTGTTCTATTACTATAGTACTATACCGCCTTCAACTTTTATGAACGATTGGGTGTTTAAGGTTAGCGTTTTGTCGTATTATCTGGCTGTATAGCAAATGAAAAAATACAATTTACTATGCAAGTGAGAAATTTGTGTTTTAATATTTATGTTTTTTAAAATATAATTTAAGGCCCCTTTATAACATCATCATGCGACAGGCCCCGCACCTAGCTTAGTATGGCACTGGGTTGGGGTGAGAGGTCAATAGTTGGGAATCGTGGATGAGTCGCCGGGGGTAATGGGAGGAGATTAGGTTTGATGATGGTGGTGGCTGAGGTGAGCAGACGAGGTCAGGCGTGAGACGATCGGGTCAGGGGAGAGGAGATGGGCTCATGGCTGAATGGGTGAATCAGAATCTGTTTTCAGACTGGAGGAATCCGATGAGCTATGAAGCTCTTTTTCACAGACGTCCAGTTATGGGGCCAGAGGTGACCAGGTGTCAGATTTTAGATGAGGCAGAGTTAGGGGGGTGAGTGAGGAGCGGGGCTGTGGTGGTGAGGGTGAGGTGAGTGAGGAGCGGGGCTGTGGTGGTGAGGGTGAGGTTGGGGTGAGTGAGGAGCGGGGCTGTGGTGGTGAGGGTGAGGTTGGGGTGAGTGAGGAGCAGGGCTGTGCTGGTGAGGGTGAGGTTGGGGTGAGTGAGGAGCAGGGCTGTGCTGGTGAGGGTGATGATGGCGTTGCTCTGCGTTGCAGGTCGCTTCCCGGACTCGGCGGAGCTCTCCGAACTGGGTGAGTGTCGCCACGTTACAGAGTCACAATCCGATGAGCTATGAAGCTCTTTTTCACAGATGTCCAGTAGGGGCACGGGGTCAGAACGCTACAACAAGAAACAACACAAAAACATGATAGGACTGCTAAGTATAGGAAAGGTAAACAAATCACGAAAAAATGAAACTATACTTTTTGTTTTACCAGGTAAGGCGCACAGAGCTGTTAGCTTCAGAAGCGAACTGGGCCACAAATGACAGCTCAACGAAGTGGCTTATCTCGTGGAAATTTATAGCAGCCAAATACTCTAAATAATAATCACAGCCATCCCCATTGGTCACACTGGGTTAAGAGGGGAACCTCACGGATTGAGCGCGCGAGTTCATCCGTTCCGCGACGAGATGACTCGCGTCAAACTGAATCTAGAATGAGGAAGTTGACTCACGCGGGCCCGTTTCTCCGCTCCCCTGCGGGTGGCATGGCAAAGACAGCGAGCGAGCCAACCCCGTGCCCATGTGCCGGACACGTGTGTGAACAAGAGCTTCGTAGCTCATCGGATTCCTCCTCCAGTCTAAATCAAGATTGCGAGTTTGCCGACCCCCCCTCCCCACCGTGTGTGACCCTCACAGAGAAGCAGCCGGGCGCGGGGTTCACTTCCATCCTGGCATAGGAATCGTTCCCGATGCCAGGGATCCCCACCGGTCGGCCAACGCGTGGCGCGGTGATGGCGGCGTCACAACTCTTCAAATGTTGTGATAAATCGGCGATCATTACATCGTTATTATTTAGATTATTTGGAAGGTATAAATGTCGATGCCATAAGCCGCTTCGTTGAGCTATCGTTCATGGCCAGGTCACTATATAGCTCAGTGGGCCTTACCTGGTAAAATAAAAATAGTTTAGTTTTATTTGTATTTTTTCGTGTGGTCCACTTACCTTTTCTATACTAGCGTGGTTTTGTATTGTTTGTTGTTGTAACGTTCTGATCTGCCGCGACTAGACATCTGTGAAAAATAGCTTCGTCCTCATCAGAAACCTCCAGGATAAATAAAGATCATTCTGATCATCGCCCCCCCCTCCCCTGCCCGCGTACTGCCAATAAACGACTGCCAACTGTGGCAGTGCCACGCAGCAGCCTCGTGGGTGAGAGCCGCTGTGCGCTATGAATCATAATCATTATTTGACTGGAGGAATCCGATGAGCTACGAAGCTCTTTTTCACAGATGTCCGGTAGTGAAAGCATCGCACGCTTTCAGTTGCGCTTCTGCGGCCGTCTAGAACGCACTTCCGTCCGATATTAGGAAGCCACCAGAGCTGTGTACTTTTAAATCATCTAGATTGAAAACCAATTTCTTTAGAACTTATTTTTGTGTTTAGTTTGTCCTTCTCCCTGCCACTTACGATTAGCACGGTTGGCTATGTACGGTGCGAAAGAAGTTCAACAAACATGCACGCATACGGGAATGGCGCTGCTGGCGAGTGGATTGATCCTCTCGAAGCGTGGACGACGGCCCGGGCAGTTCCCTCCACCTCGGGCGATAAACCACCAGGGAGGCCCTAATGGCTGCGTGGCCTCAGAGGGTTGGGCCCAATCGCCGCACCGTGCGTGGTCGGGTGGGGCGGCCCGAGTGTGTGTGTGGATCACAACTCGCCGCACAATAAGCACAACTCGCTGACGTAACCCAAGTCCCACGTCTGGGGGGGGAGTGCGCCCAGCCAGCGGTGGCGTGAGCCGCTGGAGTTGCGGGGCTGCGGCATCACCTTCGTGGTGCTGAGATGTTAATGACCTCACCTGGTATACAGGATGTCATGGGTTCGATACCGATCCTGGCGCCTGCATTCTAAATGGAGTTTGCATTTTCTCCCCGTGGTCATGTGGATTTTTCTCCACGTCGTCCGGTTTTTCCCCTCCACATTTGGAATCGGCAAACATTTAAGAGTATTCGGCTGCTATAAATTTCCACGTGATGGTAAGCCACCTCGTCGAGCTATCATTTGTGGCCAGGTGGCTTCTCAAAAAGAGCTACATAGCTCAGTGGGCCTTACCTGGTTAAATAAAACATGGTGTAGTTGTAGTTTGCGTGGTAACGGTTGGGTGATGTGACGCGCGACGCCTGCAGTTTACTCGACAGCAAACCTCCTCATCCTTGTCAACGACAGCATCCTGCGCAAAGCCATCAGACGGCCACTACCTCTGGTAAGCACGCAACTCGTGCACACCGATAGGGTTAACACCCACACACACTGGACGGTTAACACACTATAGGGTTAACACACACTATAGGGTTAACACACACTATAGGGTTAACACCCACACACACTGGACGGTTAACACACACTATAGGGTTAACACACACTATAGGGTTAACACACACTATAGGGTTAACACCCACACACACTGGACGGTTAACACACTATAGGGTTAACACACACTATAGGGTTAACACCCACACACACTGGACGGTTAACACACACTATAGGGTTAACACACACTATAGGGTTAACACACACTATAGGGTTAACACCCACACACACTGGATGGTTAACACACACTATAGGGTTAACACACACTACAGGGTTAACACACACTATAGGGTTAACACCCACACACACTGGACGGTTAACACACTATAGGGTTAACACACACTATAGGGTTAACACCCACACACACTGGACGGTTAACACACACTATAGGGTTAACACACTATAGGGTTAACACACACTATAGGGTTAACACACACTATAGGGTTAACACCCACACACACTGGACGGTTAACACACACTATAGGGTTAACACACACTATAGGGTTAACACCCACACACACTGGACGGTTAACACACACTGGACGGTTAACACACTATAGGGTTAACACACACTATAGGGTTAACACCCACACACACTGGACGGTTAACACACTATAGGGTTAACACACACTATAGGGTTAACACACACTATAGGGTTAACACCCACACACACTGGACGGTTAACACACTATAGGGTTAACACACACTATAGGGTTAACACACACTATAGGGTTAACACACACTATAGGGTTAACACCCACACACACTGGACGGTTAACACACTATAGGGTTAACACACACTATAGGGTTAACACACACTATAGGGTTAACACCCACACACACTGGACGGTTAACACATACTATAGGGTTAACACACACTATAGGGTTAACACACACTATAGGGTTAACACACACTATAGAGTTAACACACTACAGGGTTAACACCCACACACACTGGACGGTTAACACACACTATAGGGTTAACACACACTATAGGGTAAACACACTATAGGGTTAACACCCACACACACTGGACGGTTAACACACACTATAGGGTTAACACACACTATAGGGTTAACACACACTATAGGGTTAATACACACTATAGGGTTAACACACACTATAGGGTTAACATACACTATAGGGTTAATACACACTATAGGGTTAACACACACTATAGGGTTAACACACACTAAAGGGTTAACACACACTATAGGGTTAGCACCCACACACACTGGACGGTTAACACACACTATGGGGTTAACACACACTATAGGGTTAACACACACTATAGGGTTAACACACATTATAGGGTTAACACACACAATAGGGTTAACACACACTATAGGGTTAACACACACTATAGGGTTAACACCCACACACACTGGACGGTTAATACACTATAGGGTTAATACACACAATAGACATAATACACGAGATAAAACACACCCACACACACAATAGGGTTATCACACATAAAATAGGAGTAATACACAATAGAGTTAACACATACAATAGGGTTAACACACAATAGGTGTAATACACAATGGAGTTAACACACACACCCACACAATAGGGTTAACACACAATAGGGTTAACACACATACAATAGGCATGATTCACAATAGGGTTAACACAAACAATGGGTTAACACACAATAGGGTTAACACAATAGGCGTTATACACGATGGAGTTAACACACGCACCCACACAATCGGGTTAACACACACTGATAGGGTTAAGATACACACAATAGGGTTAACACACCCACACAATAGGGTTAACACACACTGATAGGGTTAACACACACACAATAGGGTTAACACACACCCACACAATAGGGTTAACACACACACAATAGGGATAACACACACACACAATAGGCGTAATACACAATGGAGTTCACACACGCACACAATAGGGTAAACACACAATAGAGTCAACACACAATAGGGTTAACATACACACAATAGGGTTAACGCACATCAATAGGGTCAATAACTAAACTTTTTATATGACCAGGTAAGGCCCACTAAGGATATATAGGGTGAGTGAGGAGCCAGAAGCGATCTGGCCACAAATGATAGTTCAGTACACACACGCACATACACAATAGGATTATACGCACACACACTGATAGGGTTAACAACGACAATAAAGTTATCACACACAATAGGGCATACACATACACCAGATAGGGTTACTACACAAAGGCATAATATGGTTACCACACACACACACAACAGGGTTATCACACACACACAAACACCGATAGCGTTAGCACACAATCTCCCGTATAGCCTTGAACAGGCTTTTGGGGCAAAGTGCTGTCTGTGAGACTCTATTGAAGCTGTCGCAACACACGAGGGGGAGCGATGTGGCCAGCACCACACCTGGCCACCTTTGGCTCCCCAGTGCTGGTGTTCACACACCACACTCAGCTACTCGGTCAAGGCTGAGTTGACCTAGATGAGCCTCCGTACCGATTCAGATATTCATCACTGATGTCGGTCGAGAGCGGAAATCGAACTCCGGGTCCCGGATTGGTAGTGCGTTGCGCTAGCCACTGTGCCACACTCAAGGATATGTTAACTGTCACTGCTGACAGGTGGAGTATCTACCAGATCCCACCGCGGTTTGTCGATTGGCAGGTTGATTGTGGTGGGGTAAAGTGTGGGTAATTCCCATCGTCCACCGAAATGTCTGGCCACAGCGTCGAAGAGTTAGGCCACAAATACCCCGTGTAGGGGCTCTCAAGAGCTCCCCCTAGTGGAGGTCCTTCCACTAGCGGTGGTGCGAGCAGGCGCCTGCAGGCCTGCGCCTGCACCATCAGCCTTTGCCCCCCCCCGCCTAAGTTAGAGGAGCGCTGCAGTCTGTGGTGGTGTCGACCTTCGCCCCGAGTGTCGTATCGCCTCCTGCGGGTCAAATCACCACGCCGCCATTAACCTTGACCTACACGCCACTCGTGTGGATAACTCTGCCCGGCCGTGCAACCATAAACACCTTGCACGTTAACCACCCACCACCTCTCAAGCGCCTGGGTCCCCCGGGTCCCTCTGGATCCCCCTGGCGCCTATCGAGCCCCCGGGTCCCTCCGGGTCCCCCTGGCGCCTATCGAGTCCCTGTGTCCCCCTGGCGCCTATCGAGCCCCCTGGTTCCCCTGGGTTTCTCTTGCGCCTATCGAGCCCCCTGGTTCCCCTGGGTTTCTCTTGCGCCTATCGAGCCCCTGGGTTCCCCTGGGTTTCTCTTGCGCCTATCGAGTCCCTGGGTCCCCCTGCCGCCTATCCGCTGCCGCCGCCCTCCTCGCCCGGCAGGGTCACAAGAAACTGAAACTTCCACCGCCAGAGGGCGCCATGCGTGCTCACTAGCCATCGTTTTCACGCCAATTGCGTTGCTGCACACTACACGCTCCTGGTTATCGATAAACGCATCCCCCACGTGATGTAGAGAGCTGTTGAAAATTGGTCGAGAACGTGTGTGTGTGTACGCACGTGTGTATCCCACACACGTACGTACACACACACACGTTCTCGACGTACGTGTGTATCCCACACACGTACGTACATACACACGAACATACACAGTGTATGTACGTACGAGTTGATTCCCGCTCATGGCCAACACCAGTGTGATTATCGATACTGGTCTTGGGCCTCCCCTAGGTCGACTCAGCCTTAATGAGTACCTGGTGCAGTGTGTAAACATCAACACTGGGGAGACAAAGGTGGTCGGGCGTGGTGCTGGCCACCCACCCCCTCGTGTGGCGGCCTTCATAGGTGCTGCTCGCTAACGTCACTTGTCCCAACGGTTCGTTCAAGGCTACACGGGGGGGCCGGGGATCTTTGTCTTTGTGCTCCACGTGTGCCACGCACAGTCGCTGTCCCACGGGCGCCTGATCACTTGGCTCACGGTGCTGGAGTACGTGGAGGTGTTCTCGGAGATGGGCGCCGCGCGCCTCTGGGGCCCGGCCGGACGCTGGCTCATCATCGTGCTGGTGCAGCTCGCCAAGTGAGTGCGGCCACGTGACCGCAATCATGATAACGATGATGACAATAATGATAACGATGATGACAATAATTATAACGATGATGACTGATGAAGACGATGATGACAATAATGATAACGATGATGACAAAAATGATAACGATGATGACTAATGAAGACGATGATGATGACGACAATGACGACGATGATGATAACGATAACGACGATAAAGATAATGACGATGATGATGACGACGACGACGACCGATGATGCTGATGGCATTGTCCCTCGGTGCGCAGGGCGGTGCTGCGCGCCCTGCTGCTCTTCTGGCACAAGGCCGGGATCCAGCCGTCCCCTCCCATCGTCCCACTCGACAGAGACGCGCAGCCCTCCCCGCCGGCACACGGGGCAGGTGGGAGATGCGCGTGCGGCCCATCGTGCGGCCCATCGTGCGGCCCAGCGTGCGGCCCATCGTGCAGCCCATCGCGCGGTCGGTACCGTACGCAGCCAACATCGCCACCTACTGGCAGCAGACTAATGCCGCAGGTTTCTCAAGTGAATGATTCTGGTCTCTCGAGTTCTCACCCAGGGTAAATTGAATAAACCTGACACGCGCGTGGGCGACTGTGCATTCGCGCACGGGGAGCGGCAACGCCGTGGCGCCGTGCGCCTGTAACCCGGCACCCTGTGGGCGGCCAGGGTTGGTGGATCACACATTCGTGACACTCCCTTACCTGCCCTGGCTGCAAGGTCATCGTCTCCTGGTTTGCCAGCATGCGATGGCAGCGCAGCACGCGGAGCAAAACGTTGGACAGCGTGCCGCACGAGTTCATGTGTGTCCCACGTGTGACCTCGCATTGCCCCCCGTGACCCCGTTCATGACCCCGCAGAATGTGAGAGGAGGGACGGAGAGGGCGGGAGCCTGGAGCCAGAGTCTCTCCCCACGGCCCCCTCCACCTTTCAGGGACGCAGATCTCAGCGCGTCATCCGCTCGCTCCACCACAGTGAGAGTCCACCACCACCGTCACCACCTAAACCACCGTCGCCACCTAAACCACCACCACAGTCGCCAGCGTCACCTCCACCACCACCGACACCACCATCACCACCATCACGCACCAGACACATGTCGCCATCACCACCACCACCTCGCAGAGCCACACGCGGCGTGGCCCCGCCACCATCGCTGCGTCCCCCGCGGCCACCAGAGACGCACGTCACTGCTGCCGCGTTTACGCTGCTACACGGCCGCGCCGCGTCGCTCCGCACCACCTCAGCCCGGCTCGCTTCTCTCTCTCCCCCCCCTTCATTATCCCCCCCCCACGGCCCCCCAGCCCCCCCTCTGGCACTGCGTGAGTGGGGCGCCCCCCAGCGCGAGGCGGCGGGGGGCTCCGCTTCCCGCGCCCGCGCCGACCAGCCCCCGACGGTGCTGGGGCCCCAGCGTGTCACGGCCGAGGCTCTGCACGTCGCTCGTCCCCTGCTGCACCGTATCCATCGCCCCCCAACCCCCGGCTGGTGCAGGTTGAAAAAGGGACGATTAGCGCGGTTGGCTACATGTACGGTGCGAAAGAAGTTCAACGTGCATACGTACGTAGGACTCGCACAGGGGACCGATAGACTCGCACGGGGACCCATAGACTCGCACAGGGACCCATAGACTCGCACGGGGACCCATAGACTCGCACAGGGACCCATAGACTCGCACAGGGACCCATAGACTCGCACAGGGACCCATAGACTCGCACAGGGACCCATAGACTCGCACAGGGACCCATAGACTCGCACAGGGACCCATAGACTCGCACAGGGGACCGATAGACTCGCACAGGGACCCATAGACTCACACAGGGACCCATAGACTCGCACAGGGGACCGATAGACTCGCACAGGGACCCATAGACTCGCACAGGGACCCATAGACTCGCACAGGGACCCATAGACTCGCACAGGGACCCATAGACTCGCACAGGGACCCATAGACTCACAGAGACCCATAGTTTGTTGTCCTTTCCTCGCACCTCCGATTAGCATGATTAGCTACACGCGGTGCGAAAGAAGTTCAATACACATACTTGTATATTTGGGTGCGGAGGGGTGTTACATCGTTTAGCGGCGCTAGGCTACGAACCCGGCGACCCGAGTTCAATTCCCGCTCACAGCCAACACCGGTGACGATTATCTGATCAGGTCCTGGGCCTCCCCTAGGTCGACTCTGCCTCAAATGAGTACCTGGTATGGTGTGTAAACATCGCCGATGGGGGAGACAAAGGCGACCAGGCGTGGTGCTGGCCACCCATCCCCTCGTGTGCCGTTCCGGCCTTTATAGGTGCCACTCGATAACGGCACCTGCCCCAACAGTCTGTTAAAGCTATACGGATGATCTTTGTCTCTGTGTATGTCTGTATGTGTCTCTTGTAGGCTGCACGGGGGGGGGGGGGGGGGGGGATCTTTCTCTCTGTCTATATGCTGTCCGTCGGTTTAACGACCAACGGCGTTGCCTTCTTCTCCCTGTCGTTGATGTGGGACTTGTGTAAAATATAAATCTTCCGTGGCTCCGCTGAATTCTCGCGTCGAACCCACGTGCCGTTCGGCTCGATGTCCGACCTTTCGCCGCACGTGGAGCAAAACGTCGGACGCCGTGCCAGACGACACGCGGCACGATCCAAAAAAAGTGCGCTTCGGGAGCGGTGGTTCAGACTTTGCGCTTGCCGGTTCCTTAACTCCCGTGGCACCGCCGGTGCAGTGGCGAGCCTGGCGGCGTGCGGAGAGAAGTCGTGGAAGCCGTGGCTCCTCTCTGCCGCGATGGACATCACCAGGTGGGGCTCACGGCGCGACTCCGGTGTGGAGATTTGGCCGCGGGGTTGGAGGCTCGCTCGTTTCTTGAACCCTTTCCCGTTTCCGATGACGCACGTGTACGTATGCGTTTGTCATCAGTTTTTTTTTCCGATTCTTTTCCGATGACCTGCGTTTAAGCCATCGGAACGTAATTGATTTCCGAATGGAATCGGAAGTAAAAGGCCATGTGGGAGGGCATGTGGCACAGTTTGCCGCCATCTGTCATCAAGTGTGCGGTCATGTCGCAACAGTTCTCTGCGCTGAGTACAACGTCTTTAAAAACAGCGGCGCCGCTACGCCTCTCTGAATAAAATTAACGCCGAGCCGTTGGTGTGTTCTGAGATTCAGTGGTGAACGGGACAGCCTCATCCTGCAACTTGCAGACATCTCGGAACGGGAAAGGTTCAGCGTATAATGGTGTAATTTCCCCAGGTCTTATCTCGATTGTGTTGTTGGCAACTCTGCCGATGAGACGTTGAATGTCAACGTCTGCTTGTGTTGAACCAATGCTGCTGATGAGATGCACTCCCAGAAGGTCGCATGGCTGATGGGACGTGTAAAAACAAATTGACTTCGATCCAGATTGCGCGATTGGCGTCACGAGATGGAGAATCCAAGCGGATCTCGCACAGAGCAGCGCGGCGCTCTGAGTTAACGGCCCGCAGAAGCGGATATCACAGAGCTACCTCTGAGATCCCATCAAGCGGCCTCTGATGCACATACAGTGGGGAGCAGCACTTTCCCACCCACTCTACATATGAGAGTGAGGTTTGTCACGTGACGGACTATTATCTAATTCTAAAATGAACCCTTTCCCATTCTGAGATGTATCGTTCACTTCTGAATCTTGGAACGGGCAAGTGGTTAGCGTTAATTTTATTTAGAGGAATAAGGCCGTTGCTTTTAAAGACATTGTTACTCACCGCAGAGAACCGTGGCGACACGACCACACTCTATGATAGCTGGCGCCAGACTATACCACACGCCCTCCCGCATGGTCTTGTTGGAGCATCGGTACCGGTTCCATCCGGTTCCGTCCCGATGACGTACACACGTACATTGATCAGAACGGGAGACGGGCTAAGTGCAGAACTAAATTTAATGTGATGGTTGTTTTGTGTGCACTCATTGGTGACCGGACTGAGACCATCAACTCGCTACGCTTGAGAACTCTGTTTCATCGCTGGCGCCTGAAACCTGGATTCGAACTCTAAGCTCAGCCCATGCAGACTCAGCAGAGGCCACAAGATGGCAGCGCAGCACGAGGGTTCGACCGGTCTATGGGGCGGTGTAGGGGGGGGGCCCTCCTGGCACTTCACTCTCCTCCCACGGAGAGAAAACAAAAGGAAGTGGGCCAGGCATCCCAACGCATTCCCCTCTTGACAATAGACTCTTGAGCCTCGGCGTTGTCATCGTTCACGAGGGCTGCGTCTGCAAGCTCGGTGAGGCCACCGGCCGGAACCGGATTGAGGACGGCGACCAAGTGCCGAATTCCGTCGAGACGGTCGTGAAATTGATTGGCGAGCGGAGCGGGCCGCTGTGTGGCGCACACGGGCTGAAAGGAATCTAATCGATAATCGTTTGAGTGATCGTTCGGTCGAGTAATCGCATGATCCCAGCTCCACTCACAATCGCTGTGAACCCCTTCCTACTCCTCCCCTGCTCCACTTCCTCGCCGCCTCCCCTGCACAGCCTGAGCCTGATGGGCGACCCCAAGGAGTTGAACACGAGTGAGCGTGGAGAGCTGCGACGTCGCACCCTCGCGTTGCTCTACTACCTCCTGCGTTCGCCCTTCTACGACCGCTACTCGCAGTGAGACGCGCGCACAACGACGCGACCAACGAGCAGCCCTCCCAGGGTCCGCTCACGGACGACCGCTCGTGGACCACGTGCCGTGTCGGTCCTGAAGGGGCACGGAGCGGGACGGGAGGGGGACGGGAGGGGAGGAGGGCGACGGGGAGGGGAGGGCGACGGGGGGGGGAGAGCGACCGGGGGGGGGAGGGGGATGGGGGGACGGCGATGGGGGGGGGGGGCGGAGGGTGACGGGGGGGTAGGCGGATGGGGGGGGGTAGGGGGACGGGGGGGGAGGGCGATGGGGGGGGAGGGGGGGCGGGGGGGGAGGGTGACGGGGGGGAGACGGGGGGGACAGCGGTGGGGGGGAGGAGGACGAGGGGGAGGGCGACGGGAGGGAGGGAGTGTGACCCAGTACAAGTTCAGATATCACTCACCACTGATATTAGCCGTGGCTGCAGGTTTGGCTCGTGTTGCGGATGCAGCCCACAGCTGCCGCACCGTGCCGCTTCCGGCTTGACTCGCTACTGCGGAGCGGCTGTCCCGCGGCCCGCCGTGGGCTCAATACCCAGGTTACAGCACCCCAGCTGAGGTAGTGTGTTGGACTGGCTAGGAAATCGTATGATGGAATACATGCCTGGGTATGGGGAGGTGACAAATCGGAATGGATCGATGTGCCACCACTCCACGCTGAGAGTTTTCACCACCTGTATTTTGTCTCCCCAGGGCGAGGATCATGCTGCTGCTCAGGATCCTGGCCGATTACATCCCGGGATTTGGCTGGGTCGCTCGTAAGTGCACGCCGCTCCCTCTGCCAGTACCGTGTATGCAGCTTGTTCTGTTTTGTATGTATGTGTGTGTGTATGTATGTGTGTATGTGTGTATGTATGTATGTATGTGTGTATGTATGTGTGTGTATGTATGTATGTGTGTGTATGTGTGTGTGTATGTATGTATGTGTGTATGTATGTGTGTATGTGTGTATGTGTGTGTATGTGTGTATGTATGTGTGTGTGTATGTATGTATAATCCTTGCCAGGTCCTGGCAAGGATTATTCAGCATCGCCTTGCCAGGCACGCTGAGGAGAGGCTTGCGGAGCCCCAATGCGGTTTCAGGAAAGGGCGGTCCTGCACAGATGCCATATTTTCTGTCCGTCTGCTACAACAGAGGTGTAGGGAATTCCAACAAGACCTACATCTCTGCTTTATTTACCTGGTCAAGGCCTATGATACCATCAGTAGGCCTGGGCTCTGGGTCGTTCTTCGTGCTTTTGGAGTACCTGACCCTCTGCTCACGATCATTAAGGACCTTCATGATGGTGAGCGGGCCCGGGTAAAACTACGTGGCTGGGAGTCAGAGCCATTCCCTGTACACCTTGGGGTGCGACAGGGATGTCCTCTGGCTCCCACATTATTTAACATCTATTTTGACCACGTAGTTCGTGAAGCCTTCAATAGCTGTACCGGGGGAATCTCCATATGGTACAGATATAATGGGAGGCTAATCGATGCCCGGGTGCAGTCAAGGGATGGCTCCCTATTGCTCAACCACGTTATGTATGCTCATGATTTGGTAATAGCTGCTCAGTCAGAGGAGGAGTTGGAGACGCTGCTGCTGAGACTGGAGCGTGCCACTAAGAGGTGGGGCCTTACCATCAGCCCCACCAAAACTAAGCACCTGCCTGGGTATTTTGTACCATCGGACACTCCACCCCCACAACTCCCAATCGGTGATGGGGCAGTTGTGGAGAGAGTGGAGAGTTTCCCATACCTGGGCAGTGTGCTTATGACTGGCTCCAGTTTAACAGCAGAGGTCTCACTCCGAATCAGTCGAGTGGCAATATCTTTTCATCGGTTGCGTAACGCTGTGTGGAAGCTACCTGGTCTGTCGCTCCGCACTAAGCTTCAGGTCTTCTCGGCCACGGTCATTCCCTCCCTTCTCTACGCTTGCGAAACGTGGACCCCCCTAATGGAACATCTTCGCCGGTTAGAAACATTTAGGCTGGCCTGCCTACGATCCATTCTGGGTTTAACCAGACTGGATTGTGTGAGGAGCTCACAAATCCTTGAAAGATCTGGGCAGGGTCTGATCGGTGAGCTCCTCCGGCAAGCAAGGCTGCGATGGCTGGGTCATGTAGCCCGCATGCTCAGCCACCGCATGCCAAAACAGCTTTTGTTCGGCCGGATTGAGGGGGCTAAGCGGGCGCGGCACGGGCTAGAGAAGTGATGGAGTGATGTGGTACAGGAGGACGTGGAGCTGAGTGGACTTGCCGATGACTGGTACCAGCGGTGTCAAGATCGGCCTCTGTGGAGGAGGCTCGTGAAGGATGCTACTGGGCAGTTAGAGGTAGTCGCCCTCCAACAACAACGGAGGGCGGAGGAGCGACGCTCAGAACAACGAGCGGAGCGCCGGGTGGCTAAAGCACAGCAGGTTGGCACAGTAGGGGGCACAGGTGGTGCATCAGCCAGTAATCTCAGTCAGTCGACCCGTGGCACCTGGGTCTGCCCCGTGACCTCCTGCCAGCGGGCGTTCGACACTTCACGTGGCCTCAGGGTGCACATAGCCTGGCACAAGCGTCGTGGTGACGTCACCGCCACTTAGTGGCGAATGGCGGTTGTTGTTGTATGTGTGTGTATGTGTGTATGTATGTATGTGTGTATATGTGTTTGTGTGTATGTGTGTGTGTATGTGTGTATGTATGTGTGTATGTGTGTGTGTATGTATGTGTGTATGTATGTATGTGTGTATGTGTGTGTGCGTATGTTTCATGACTTTCATGATGGTGAGCAGACCCGGGTAAAAATACGTGGCTGGGAGTCAGAGCTATTTTCTGTACACTTTGGGGTGCGACAGGGATGTCCTCTGGCTCCAACATTATTTAACATCTATTTCGACCACGTAGTTCGTGAAGCCTTCGATGGCTTCACCGGAGGAATTTCCATCTGGTACAGATACAATGGGAGACTGATCGATGCCCAGGCGCGGTCAAAGGATGGCTCCCTATTGGTCAACCACGTTATGTATGCCGATGATCTGGTAATTGCGGCTAACTCAGAGGAGGAGTTGGAGGCGCTGCTGCTGAAACTGGAGTGTGCCACTAAGAGGTGGGGTCTTACCATCAGCCCCACCAAAACGACGCACCTGCCTGAGTATTTTGTACCTTTGGACACTCCACCCCCACAACTCCCAATCGGTGATGGGGCAGTTGTGGAGAGAGTGGAGAGTTTCCCATACCTGGGCAGTGTGCTCATGACCAGCTCCGGTTTAACAGCAGAGGTCTCACTCCGAATCAGTCGAGCGGCATTATCTTTTCATCAGTTGCATAACGCTGTGTGGAAGCTACCTGGTCTGTCGCTCCGCACAAAGCTTCGGGTCTTCTCGGCCACAGTCATTCCTTCCCATCTCTACACTTGCAAAACGTGGACCCCCCTAATGGAACATCTTCGCCGGTTATAAACATTTAGGTTGGCCTGCCTACAATAAATCCTGGGTTTAACCAGGCTGGATTGTGTGAGGAGCTCAAAAATCCTCGAAAGATCTGGACAAAGTCCCATCGGTGAGCTCCTCCGGCAGGCAAGGCTGCGTTGGCTGGGTCATGTAGCCCGCATGCCCAGCCACCGCATGCCGAAACAGCTTTTGTCCGGCCGGATCGAGGGGGCAAAACAGGCGCGGCACGGGCTAGAGAATAGATGGAGTGATGTGGTACAGCAGGATGTGGAGCTGAGTGGACTTGCCGATGACTGGTACCAGCGGTGTCATGATCGGCCTCTGTGGAGGAGGCTCGTGAAGGACGCTACTCGGCAGTTGGAGGCAGTCGCCCTCCAACAACAACAGAGGGCGGAGGAGCGATGCTCACAACAACGAGCGGAGCGCCGGGTGGCTAAAGCACAGCAAGTTGGCACAGTAGGGGGCACAGGTGGTGCATCAGCCAGTCATCTCAGTCAGTCGACCCGTGGCACCTGGGTTTGCCCCATGACCTCCTGCCAGCGGGCATTCGACACTTCACGTGGCCTCAAGGTGCACATGGCCTTGCACAAGCGTCGTGGTGACATCACCGCCACTTAGTGGCGAATGGCGGTTGTTGTGTATGTTTGTGTGTGTATGTGTGTGTAAGTGGGGAACGGTAGTGTAGCGGTTAGCGCGCTGCACTATAAACCTGGCGACCCGGGTTCGATTCCCGCTCACGGCCAACACCAGTGACGATTATCTGAACCGGTCCTGGGCCTCCCCTAGGTCGACTCAGCCTTAAATGAGGACCTGGTGCGGTGTGTAAACATCGCCACTGTGGAGACAAAGGCGGCCAGGCATGGTGCTGGCCACCCACCCCCTCGTGTGCCATGCCGGCCTTCATAGGTGCTCGCTAACAGCACTTGTCCCAACAGTCTGTTAAGGCTGTTCAGGGGATTATTGTCTTTGTTTTGTAGGTATGTTGAACTTCTTTCACACCATACGTAGCCAACTTCGCTAATCGGAGGTGGGTGGGAAGGATGACAAACTAAACAAAAAGCAAACGAGACGCAGACGTCTGTCAGGAGCACATAAATATTTGCGCGAAAGTAAGAAACCATCGGCTTTTCCTGAAGGAGTGCATTGTGGGTTATTGTGGAGTGCACGCTCCTCATTTGTTGTTCTTCCCCCGCACCTCCGATTGGCACGGTTTGCCACGTGCAGCGTGAAAGAAGTTTAATGTGCACACGTACATACACTCAACGTACACACGTACATACACTCAACGTACACACGTACATACACTCAACGTACACACGCACGTGCACCGTGGGGTCTGTGCGCTTGTCACGTGGCCGTGAGTCTCATTTGAAGCTGGTGGTTGCCGGCCACACTGTTGCGCACCGCTACGACAGGCGTTCCTCAGCGATGACAATCCTGTGCCCATGCCGTTCGATCTGCAGGACCCCTGATCGAATACCTCCCGGCCTGGCAAAAAGTCTACTTCTACATGTGGAGCTAAGGAGCGAGGCGACGGGCGGAGCGCTTGCATGGCACCGGCAACGTGTCCCGGGAACGGAGTGCGCGAGGGCGCTGTCCGTCCAAACATCCTAATGGTTTGAAACAGCCGATGACGAATGGTAGCCGGACTCTAATCGAAATATCCTAATGGTTTCAAACAGCTGCCCAACGATTTGCACAAATTGCATTTGTCTGGAATCACATGTGATTTGAAACGTGAGCGAGATGCCTTGTAGGCGTTGGTAGAAAAAAGTAATCTGACAAACGGAGGTTTTCCTGACCAGTGTCGCTTTCACGCTTTCTGAGCTGTGCGGCAAATGCGCGGTGCGGAGGGCGGTGGTACGGTGTGACACGAGGCACGGTGTGACGTACGTGTAGCACGGTGTGACACGCGGCATGGTGTGACATGCGGCAGGGTGTGACGTATGTGTAGCACGGTGTGACATACGTGTAGTATGGTGTTACATGCGGCACGGTGTGACGTACGTGTAGCACGGTGTGACGTACGTGTAGCACGGTGTGACGTACGTGTAGCACGGTGTGACACGCGGCAGGGTGTGACATGCGGCACGGTGTGACGTACGTGCAGCACGGTGTGACGTACACGCGGCAAGGTGTGACGTACGTGTAGCACTGTCTGACGTACACGCGGCATGGTGTGACATGCGGCAGGGTGTGACGTACGTGCAGCACGGTGTGACACTCTGCAGTGTGACGTACGTGCGGAACGGTGTGACGTGCGGCACCGTGTGCGTCACGCGCGAGGTTCCCCACTCCACCGGGCTGCACGGTGGCCAGTAGATGTCAGTATATCCCAGTGGGTTCACGAACCCGTCTGTGTACACGTTTAAGTGTAAGCCCCTGCGGTATGCACGGGGGAGTTGACTCTGGGTACTCCTCCCAATGCTGGATCCCAATACCGGACACCAATGCTGGACCCTTCTGAAAAAGCCTCGAGGCTCGGGGAGGCCTTGCATTCCGCTGTCCATGCGCCGGTCACGCTGGGCGCTGTTGCTGCCCTCTTCTGATGCCCTTGGGGTGGCGACGTGGATCAGCGGTTTGAGGTTCAACCCCGCCGCCGGCCGCCCCGGTTAACACCGTCGGTGGTGAACCAAAACGTACATGCCCTCTGGTGCACAGCGGACGTTAAAGATCGTTCGTTGTGTGCCGGTGGCGTCACGGTCAGATTTTGGCAACTTTGGAAAAATTACCGGAGCAAATTACTGTGCTCGGTCGAGCAGAGCAATAGCAACATCTGCCACCGTACTCGCAGATACCCCAATTGCAGGCCAGTGCTGCCATCAGCTTTTACCGCAAAGAGAGAGCTCACTCCGACTCTGTGACCGCTGCAGTGCCTGGGCGTGGCTCCGGGCGACGGTCCGCGGTGTCGCGACTCGCGGTGTCGCGACTCGCGGTGTCGCGACTCCACGGTGTCGCGACTCGCGGTGTCGCGACTCGCGGTGTCGTGACTCGTGGTCTTGGGGCGTGACTGCCGTGTGAACTGCGGCGCCCTGCTACAGCGTGCGTGTGTTCCACGCGTTCACCACAACACCGACGGTGGAGGCGGTCCGTAGCGGTCGAGGTTGCGCCGGTCACAATGCGGTTGTCGCAAGCTCAAACCCTGATTGGTGGTCGACACAACCAATAATTCCTCCGGGGTCGATAAAACGGCTACCGTCCCGTGCAGAAGTCGACGGTGGTCGGTCGTGCTATGGATAGACTCTCCCCCGTCATAGAAATGTTGAATTTCCATAGCCGGCGAAGGGTTTTCGACAGGAGACGCGCACCGCCTCAACGCTCAGCTGAGTAGGAAGTCGCCCTCGAATTTTAGTTTTGACCTCACGTCGTTAGTCACGATGTCCGGCGTTTCGCCCCGCGTCCCGAAGCGAAACATCGGACATCGTTCCGAACAGCGCGTGGCGGCACAGCTGTAAAAACGCATCTGAGAGAGCGTTTGGCCACCTGCCTTAGAATCGCCTTGCCGCCATCCCAGCAGCTGCACGGGGACGGTCGCCAGCCCGTGAGTAGCTCCGGACACGGCAGCGGTGGCGGCCACAAGGGAGTGGGATTGGGGAGCTGGGTGTGTAGGCCGTGCCAATTCGGCCTCCCCGGCGTGCCACCAGCGTCACCCATGCTCCACACCGAGTCGCCACGATTGCCCGCGAACGAACGAATGGCAAGATTGGCGCGACAGGTTTTTAATTCACAACGAACATGGAGCCTTCTCGTGGTGACGGCGATCTCTAACGCAACCGATAGCCGCGCCGTTGGGCGCCCGCGTGCAAGGCTGACTGCGTGGACGTGGTTGCGAGCGGCTGACGAGGGCCTCGCTCAATAAACTCCTTTTATACGGTCACATAACTCGTCTCCGTGCTGTGCCACGCGTCACCACGCGTTACCACACGTCGCTTGCTGACCATGGATGACGTCGATGCGATGACAACCATTCGCGTAGACGGCAACGGGTGGCGACGCAGTGTCAGCAACAAGGGCCTGGGTTTAATTCCCCGACCCGGTAAGTGGGGGGGAAGGAAAAGGGCCGAGGGTGGCCCGAGATGAGTTTGATGACAGTCGATGCAGCATCGTCACCATCACCGCCACCCTCGCCATCTCTGCCTTGGCCACCGCATGAGTGGCCAGGGCGGTTTGGGAGAGGCCGCGGTGATGGTGACAGCTGCCGTCTGGAATCGCACGGCTTGGATTCCTGACTGGTGTCTTTGTGTGGAGTTTGTATTCTCTCCCTCTGTCCTGCGTGGGTTTCCTCTGTGTTCTCCGGTTCCTCCTCCGATAGTGAAGTAAAAAATGTAACCGGCATTGGCCAAACATCGCAATTCTGAGAAATCAATCACTCGTAAATGACTCAATTGGGATCCCACAGCAGCAACATCGCCACCCCTCCGACTGTCAATGCTCAGCAGGACCCTGCTGAAAGGAGAATCTTGAAACTGAGGCGTTCTGCGATAAACAAGCACGAGACGGCAACTAAACTAATGAGACGAATTTTATTTATTTATTTTACCAGGTATGACCCACTGAGCTACTTACCTCTTTTTCAGAAGCGACCTGGCCGCAAATGATAACGAAGTGGCTCCTGGAAATGAATAGCAGCAGCCCTACACTCGAAACGCGTGACGTTGATTCGAAATGTGGAGGGGAAAACCGGAGGACCTGCAGGAAAGTCCACACAACCACGGGGAGAGAGACACGCAGACTTCACATATACAGCAGCAGGCGTCAGGGCCGGGATCGAACCCACGTCCTCCTGTATACCAGGCGAGGTAGTTAACATCTCCTAGCCACCGAATGTGGGGACTGCCACAGACGCCGGTGTCGTGGTGAGCACGCCGGATTCCAACCCAGAGGCTGTCGGCTCCAATGATCGCCCGGCGCGGCAGCTGACACAATGGGGCGAGTGTCCTCAAACCGCCCACCACATCTGCCCACGCAGCAGCAGTGGAGAAACACGGGGACACCACCAGTCGATTGACGGCAGAGGTCGCGTGTGGTGGGGTCAAGTCCGGGGACTCGCTCCTCTTCAACGACGTCCGCCCCGCGTGGAAGAAGAGGCCAAGGAATCACTTTCGATCGGTGGGGCACGGTCGCCGATAAGACACCGGAAGTGCGAGGGCCGCCACGCATTTGAAATCGTTGTTGGGTTTGACAGCAGCACGATGATGGTGGAGTGTTGC